GAGAGAGAGAGAGAGAGATTTTGTACAATCCTTTTTTTTTTTCCTCTGTTTTGTGAATTTTGAGAGGATGTTGAAAAAAGAAAAATGAGAGGTGGATAGGATAAGGTAATGTGCAATATCATATATCCCACAAGCCCTTTTGTGTTTTTTTGTTAATATGTGTACATATAAGCAATTTGTGACCTCTCATTTCCTTTATCTCCCCTTCTTTGTCTCAATCTTGGTTTATTTTCCACAAGAAAGAGCTAGATAATGTCGAGCTGTTGCAAAAGCTTCGTTTTTTTTCAACATTTTACGCGATTTTTTCTTGTAGAAAACAAGTTAAAAGAATGGTAGTGAGCGATGTTTTTGGGTTTGCTCATGAGATAAGATTGTGGTTAGTAAAACGAATGATAGGTGTTTGTATATGTTAGTTAGTTTGTTCATATCATTGTTTGATGGAGAAAGGCAAAACGACTTTTCATTACCCTTGTTCGTGTCTTTTTTTTTTTCTATATGAATTGTGTCGGATAAACAAACTCGGGCTGAATCTTGTTATTATTATACAGTTTAAATCCTCATCACAAGTGTTTCCTGAAGACCATATGGATTCATGTTCACGTGCATTGTTTTCGCACGTTGAGATAAAACGTTGTTCGATTTAATCGTTATTCGACGTAGATTAGTTAGTTTAGTTATGATCACCGAAGAAAAGAGATCGGCATAATATTTTTACGTGTTCTTTTATTGGCTTGTCAATCGAGAGGAGGATCGTTTTCGGATCAACTTCTTCATCAAATGAAAGGGAATAAATATTGCACTGCAGCAAATCTTCACACACACATATATATATGATGAACAAAGTGAAGCTAATAACTGTTAAAATTTTTCATTCTTCATGATTTGTTTCCCTTAGAAAGATAAAATATCACATAAATGCAAAAAGGGACAACTAAAAAAGCTGCAGTCTTGAGCAAATCCTCTGTGCCTCTTGAAATCACACCAATTCTTGACCAGTCTCCACTGTACCTAAACATACAGCAAATAAACCACTCAATTTTAGAGCATCTTATAAGGAAAAATAATAATAATAATAATAATTTTATTAAGTACCCGGCATCGATGAATCCGAGTGCAAAAACTCCAACAGCAGACTGAATGAGGATCTTCTTAGTGCTGAACAAACTCAATGGAGAAGTGGGTTTGTTTTGTTTGTAGCTTGAATCTTCTGACGAATCTTTTTTCTTAGCAAAAGTAGGAGGATTCAAATGTGGAGGTTTTGTGTGAGTTATGTTGGAAATCAGACAAGAATGTGTGTTGTAGGAGACTAGTTTGGTGGTGTATGTTATGAACATTTTTATTTTATTTTATTTTATTTTATCTTTTTTTTTTTTTGAGGACTTAGTTTGAGGAGTCTTATCTTCATTTGAGGTGTGGCTATCATATATTATGATTTTTGAAGAGCCAAATATGAGGGTACTTCTTGAAGAGCCAAATGTTCAATAAATTTGTAGTAAAAAAAAATCATAGAGGGAGAAAAATTGTAAATTATAGTCATTGTTCATATTATTAAGAATTAAGGTAGTGGTTCATATCATCTCGGTTCAAAACTACAAAGTCGACTTCAACGCAGTCGAGTCTGCCAGTAAGGTTCCACGATACTCAGTCAAGAATCCCGGTTCTCGACCGAGTCGACGTACATCTGTCGACTAGAATAAGTCGACCTCTGGCAAGACAACGATCAGACGTATCAGGGTCCACTAACGGTTGAATGCGACCCAGTCGACTCGACTCAATATCTCAGGTCGACTGAGGGAGTCTTGCAGTTCGTGGTTCCCGATAGCTTCGACACACCTCAGTATATTGAGAAAGAGTTAAGGATAAGAAGGAAGCTAAGGAAGGATCTAGATGCTGACTAGGAAGTGGGCAGAATACGAATCGACCGGGATATTCTGGACATTTCCATTAAGTCGGTCGGGGCACTGTGGGACTTCAGGTAAATATTGCACTTCTATATAAAGGACTGAGGTAATCCCAAAACCCTAACTCCCATTCATTCCATATCATTTTCATTACTGCTGCTCTCATAGCAGCTCCCTTCATCTCTCTCATATACTGACTTGAGCGTCAGGCTCTACGCCGGAAACCCCTCCGGCGTTGAGTTCTTGCAGGTGTTCTTGCGGCTCAACAATGGTTCGAACGTCATCATACCAGATCTAAGCTCATTCGCACCGGTTCATCCCAGATCCGGACGTTTTCCCATTAGACCGTTCCAGATCTGAGAAGAGACCCTTCACATAATATTTTCTTTAAATATTTTTGTTTTAACTTAAATTTGAATTTTTATTCAACTCCAACTTTCCAAAAAAATACGTACTAAGAACAGTAATTTTAAAATTTTAACTAGAAATTTTACTACTGTTTCAAGTAAATCCATCTCTCTCTATTATAGAGTAATAAGAATAGATATAATTAAAATTTCAAGTTGAACTCAAGTCATGTCGAGTATTTTATCGATCTCGAACATTGAGCGAGCTAGATTTTTTTTTTTTCTTACGAGTAGTCGATTTTACATGGCTCGTCAAGCTCAAGTTCGAACAATGAAAAAAATAAGTTAAAATCCTTCTCTCTATTGTATAGTTATATTTAGTTAAATTTTGAGTCTAACTCGAGCCATGTCGAGCATTGTGTCTATCACGAACATCGAATTGAGCTCGAATTCGATCAAATTCGAGCTCTAGTCGAGCTTTGACTCGAACGCTCGCGAGCGGCTCACGAACGGCTTGGTTCGTTTGCTGACCTAGTCCCAAGCCAAACATACCTCTTAATTCCCCCAACCAGCTTCACCTTCTCTCTCACCAAAACCTCTAACCAGACGCAAAACCTCCCCGTCCCCCAAAATCTTTGACCTCAACCCCTCAACAATGGCGCTCATCCCTTGCCCGGACCCTTCTGCCCCTCAAATCCACAAGCTCCCGCAGTACACGTACATCGACGCCCTCCGGTGGCTGCCCCACCTCTCCACATTCACCCGCCACATCCTCCTCGCCACCTACGACGCCGACACCTCCACCCCTTCCCTCCAAACCTTCGCCTTCTCCCCTTCCGAAAATGCCCCTTCCCTCACCCCACAAGCCTCCGCCACCGCCTCTTCTAGAATCGCCTCCTTGAAAATCTCCCCCTCCCCCTTAACCCCCTCCAAACCCCTGGTCGCCGCCGCCACCTTTTCCGGCACGGTCCTCTTCTACTCGGCAGATTTGATAAACGGGTCCTTGGATTGCGAGTTCTCTGTGCCGGAAAAGGGGTTTCATTCGGGCGCCGTCTCGGGGATTGATTTGAACGAGAATGGCTCGGAGTGTGTGAGCGTTGGGGAGGATGGGAGGGTTAATTTGGTCAATTTGTCTTCCAAGGGAGGTTTCAAGAGGGTTTTTGACAGTAATGGGTTGGTTTCGTACAGTGCGGTTAAGTGGGCTTCTCCGGTGGAGTTCGTGACTGGTGCTTTTGGGTTCGGTCTTCATTGGTGGGATCAGAGGAAGTCGGGTGGGCCGGTGGCTACGTTTAATAACAATTGGTAATGCATAATCTTGGAATTGATTATCAGTTAGAAGAAAGTTCTTGTGTTGTTTTAGAAGCACATGATTACTTTTTTTTCAACATTATTGTTGCTTTAGTTGTAGACTAGCATTCTTGATTATTGCTTATGGATTAGAAAGGTCAGTTGTGAGTATGATGTTGCGAGGAATTCGCTTCTTTAAACATAACTTAGGGATAAATGCTCGTAGTTTCATGTAATATATTAACACCTTATAATTCATTACTCATTTTCCACCTTCAATAAACTGTTGAGATGTTGCTTGATTTGGTCCAAAAAGCTCAGGGATTGAGTTTTCCAGTGTGGATTGTTGTCCCTTATGCATTCGAAGTTGGCATTTTCTGTTTTTAAAGTCTCTTGACCATTGATCTGAATATTTCTTTATTTTGTTTCACATCATGGGTTTGATCAAGTTTTCAAATTTTACCAGCATTATGGCTGCAAAGAAATGTAGCGTAAAACTTAAAAGCAATATAATATTTGTAGATTGCAAATATGTGTATTAACAGGTCATCATTACCAACTCCCAGTGCTTTATTCGTTTTTTCTGGAGCTGTAGATACTCTCTTTTGTTCTCTCTCCCTCAGCCTGTACTTGTTAACTGTTGCTTAGAGCTGTGCATGCCTTCTCTCTCTCTCTCTCTCTCTCTCTCTCTCTCTGTGTGTGTGTGTGTGTGTGTGCGTGCTTATACGTAATATGAAGCTTTATGTGGTTTGATCAGCCACTCCCTTTGAAGATTTATAACCTTTAGTTGAAACATGTTATTCCCTGATAATACTGACAGGACTAGAGGATCAGCTTCAGGCATTGTTCACTCCATTGACATCCATCCATCACGAAAACACACATGCCTTGTAAGATACTTTTTTTTGTAAAATTCAGTTTCATTCATAATATAACTAGTGAGAGTCCCGTGCGATGCACGGGGATTTCATAATGTAAAATATTTTTGCAAAATTTTATTTTAACAATGTATTAGCCTGTTGATTCGTCTATATATTAATAATATAAATAACATTTTAACATATATTTATTTTTTAATACAAAAAATAATAATTTTACATATTTTGGTTCATCATAATACTCAAATATTATTTTATTCAAAATTTTATGTCGTATAATGTCAACATTATTTATAATAGAAGTAATATTTCTTTTTTTATATAATGATAAATATTTAATGTATATTAATATTATTAATTGATGTGATTAATTTAAAAATATATAAGTAAATCTGTGTGATAGATCTCGATATTTTAGGTACAAATATATGATATGAATATCTTGAGATACAAAAGAAATTTTTATGTGATTTATTACCTTAATTAATCAGACGAAATTACCTAAATTGTATCTTTAAAACATTCCATAAAATGTTTAAATAGTTTCCAGAATTAGTAAACAACATTTTTTTGGCGGGAAATAGTTACTATTTAAAAGATAATCAAACCTTTATATATATATATATATATATATATATAGATATAAACCCGCCTCTTTGAGACTCTTCTCTGTTAATCTCCCCCCATCTTCTGTTGGTTTTCACTTGTATCTTTTGCTATGTGAAGGCAGGAGGCTCTTCTGGTGTAGTATTTGCTTGGGACACTCGTTGGCCCAAACAGCCGGTTTTGCTATCCGGGGTCGGTTTTAGTGATACAAATGCAAATTCGATAGTCGAAAGTGATGTTTGGGAAGTCCAGTATGACAACTATACGCATTCCTCAAAGATTGTTAACTCATCATCATCTTCTTCTCGGATTCTACCTGCTATGATATGTTCAGAGGATGGGATCCTTGCCGTAATCGAGCAAGGTGCAGTACTCCATTATTGCTGCCTTTATATATATATATATATATATTTCCAAATGTTAATTGGTTTTTTTAATAAATATTCTTTTTTACCACCGAGTTTTTACCTTCATTAGCCTTCAACCATGTTACCAATTCTATCATTACCAGGGCTATATGTATGTTTGATAGGTTAAACTCTTAGTTATCCCTATTTTTGTAGTTTAATTACAGTGGTTTCTGTACACCTTTGATGCTATATAATATATCGGAGGGCTGACCTTTTCTCATTATAATCAGGTGAAGAACCAATAGAGCTATTGGCCGAGCCTTGTGCAATAAATAGCTTTGATATCGACAGACAAAACCCGTCGGTACGTATACTATTTATTGTTTCGGGGAATCTGAGGAGTCAGTTTTTTTTTCTTTCTCTTTTCATTACCGTTTGATGGAATATCTAACCTGGTATATTTCGTTAGTTTTCTTTTGTTCTTTTCTTCTACATAATTAACGATATTTATAAACAAAATGTTTTCTTTCAGGATGTGATATGCAGTTTGGAGTGGGAATCCATAGCCATCTTGACTAGGCCGTAAAGTTTGTTGAGGAAAAGGGAATTCATTGTGTGGGGTCCAACTCGAATTAAAACTTACGATTTATGGCTCGTTTTGTTTAATCAATATAATGTATACACCTGACATGAACGTAAGTCGGATGGCTTGAATATGAATGATGAATGTACGAAATCGTTCGGGTCTTTGTGTTCATACTTCAATGGATCATTTTAGATTTTACTGTCAGTTGCAATCATATCCTTTTACAGAAAAATTGCACTTCATTTGCATGCATAGGCTTCACTGGTTTTACTGCAAGTCTTTACCTCAGCAGCTTGCAAGTGTAAGGTAAAAAAAAATGCTGTTTTGGTCTAAAGAGTCATTTCACCACATATAACTCTGCATATAATGTAATGGAAGAACTTCTCCACATTATAAATACTATTACATTTTTGACAACAATCTTATCACTACAAACACAAACTTATTAACTATATATATGAGACAGAGACTCATGTTCCTACTTCTTGTTCATTAAGAAGCTTATTCCCACAATCGATCTACATTCATGAAGAGTACTTCAGAATTACTAATAACCGTACATATATTGTACGGTTATTAGCAACTTTCCCAAGAAAAAACGCAAACCTGGTGCATTTTTTCTAGCAGTAGCATTTGCAATATACTCGAGTCCTATAATATTACATTATCATCATTACATTATATTATTAATATATCGATAATTCATAGAAACATCGTCTTTGTTCCCTTTCCCGAGCAAGTCTTTTGCTTCAAAGCTGCTTCGAAAAGTTTGTAAACCACGAACTCCAAAAACCGGTGTCCATAGCAACAGCATTAGCACCATTAGCAGCAACAAGAATAGTAGGAGCAGTGACACCAGTAATATCATAACCCTGCCATTTGAAATTGAAATAATAATAATATAATAAAAAAAGCACTTATAAAACGCGATTTTCGGGCAAATAAATTTTCCTCAGGACTAAAATGACTAACCTGGGCAAGAATAGTTCGGTTCAAATCACACTCGTTCAAGTTAAAGTTAGCAATAAGGCCATCATCACTAGCTGGATAGTCGAACGAGTCCTGATCAGGCTCGACCATCATCATATTTCCATTGACGATATTTTCATTCGAAAATATTTCCTTCGCCTTATTGTTGTTGTTGTTTTGAAAGGTAACATCGACCCATTTCCCCTGCTGTCCTATATTTTCCGTACCATCCGAATTTGGCAAGATTATCGGATTTTCCATGTTGTTATTGCTAGTAATTTCCACGTTATTTTGATCTTCTTTAGGAGGGAATTGAGGTTGAGAGCCTCTCATAAAACGCGGGTATATTCCGTACTTCTTTCTCCTGTTTGGGTTCGAATTAGCAGATTTTGGAGCTTTCTGGCGGGAACCTTGCTGCCTCTGGCTTGAGGGCTGCCATCCGTGCCGGCACTTCTGAAAAAAAACAAAAAAATGAAGTAAATAAACATTAACATTTTGTCGAAAATACAAAATAGACTAAACTAGCTCAGCATTTTATCGGTCGACCAACCTGCAGATGGCTCGCCACTTGCATTCTCGTTAGTCCAGGCACATTCATCAGCTCTAGAATGTCCTTAGGGAAACATCCTAATTTTCCATATATACCACCAAAAAAAAAAAACACACACACACACACACACATAAGAAAGCGCAAAAAATTATAAAAACGATAAATGTATTATATCGACAAATTACATACTTCCATCACCGAGTATCTTTACAGCAGCCATGAATTTGTCATGAAGCTCTGGAGTCCACTCGGTGCACATCTTAGGCTTCATGGCGCTCATACTCTCACCAGCCGCAGCATTATTATCAACATTATCGTTATTTTCTGAGCTCAAGCTGAAAAATTCGCGCCTTCCCTTCTCGCCGTTTACCTTATTTTCAATCGGTACTATATTTTCTACTAGCGGTTTTTTTCCCTTCTCGTCATTTTTTCGCGTAATTTCCCTCAATAAATGTTGCCATAAGTACTTCAACTCCTCTTGAACAAGAGGTTTCTGCATGAAAAGAAATGCTCCGTCTTCTATGGCGCATTTTACAAGTGTCGATGTAGCACTAGTCGACATCACTTGATATATACAGGACAAAAGAACTAAGTATCATTAAATACTTATGCAAAAGGGAAAAGTTTAATGATTATTGTTCGAATGCCCGATTGGAGAAAAGGTTGATAGGCTTACCGATTACGAGCAAGTCCATGCTAACGGCCTCGTGCATAAGCTTAAACCCTTCTAAATTAGACGGCTGGACGTGCAACATCACGACATTGAAATTTGTGGTGCCTTGAGACAACATTGATGAAGCAATGCAAGCATCGTGAACCGGTGTAACTGAAAAAAATAAAATAAAAAAAGAGCGCTAGGCATTAACTGAAGCGGGAAAAAACGAATAATGAGACAAAAACATATTATACAAAATATAGTGCAAAAGCAGGGAAAGTCTAGATGAAATCCCAAATCCAATTGGTGGAAGAAGGAGCAACTCATTACACTTATAAATTAATCTTATTTTTCCTACATGAACAATGTGGGACAAATCACGAATGAATATTCTAATATTTACGAAAATAGAAGGTTCATGAATAAGTTTTTATGAACATTTCCAAAGCTTCAACATGACTTCCATAGGATTCCATAGGATTGTGGATAATTGGTGAAGTTGGTAAAGATGATTTAGATATTTTTCAAAATTTTCCTAGTTCTTTTTATAGGTAAGAATAGAATAATTGAAGGAAAGATATTTCAAATGAGCTATATATAAAAGAAGACATAGATGGCATCACTAATAAATATTAAACTTAATTAATGCGATCGAATGTTTTTTTTCTATTGCTTTTTATATATTTTTTCCTATAAAATATAATAAGCTTATGAAGGTGTTGAAAATACTACAAATGGAGTTTCAAGATAATAATTTTATAAAGGTGTTGTTTCATTATTTTCATTTTCATGTAGTAAAACGAATTGAAAATACTAAGGAAGTTGCAAAAGAAAATATATTTGTTTCATTATTTTATTTTATGTTTTAAAAGGAGGTTGCCTTTGTACTTGAAAATATTACAAAGTGAGTACCAAGCTTATAAAGGTGTTGAAAATACTACAAGTGAAGTTCCAAAATAAAATATATTTGTTTGAAAATACTACAAAGTTCCAAAAAAAATATATTTGTTCCATTATTTTCATGTATTAAAATGAAGTTGTCTTCTAAATTGATATGAGATAATAGAAATATGAACCATATAAACGGTGAACAAAACATATTTAACATCTGGTTAACATATACAATACATTTTGGCATTAAAAAACAAAGAAAATCCTTGATTAAACAAAAGAGTGAGTTTATGTGAGACTAAAATTATCATAAATAGGTACATTTAAAAGTTAAAACATCATTAGGCCAGTATAGTTAATGCTAATTAGGCATTTTACTAATTCACCTGTGTAGAAACATATATATGCCTTAACAACCACATATATCCATTCTCTATTCCCATGTACACATAGGAAAAAATTGTGTGATGAAAGATTAAAAAAGACCAAAAAAAAAAGGAGTGGTTAAAAAATAATTAGTGAAGATAATATAAAAGAAGGTTTTTGTATTAATTAAAATAAATTAGTACAAATTATCAAGATTATAGAAAAAAAAAGTTCTATAAAGTATTTGAAAGGAAATTACGCGATCTTCTTTTGAATAATACGCTACATATATTTTCAGTAAATCTTGAAAATCGAAAAAATCAGAACTCAAAACCGAGCTATTATAAATTGATTCTTGAAAATTTATTCATGCATGATTCCCATGATGAAGATATTTTGTTCTCTACCTTTTTAACATTTGATGTGCAAATTTTTCAAGGATTGGCTTCCAAAATGAATCATCATTAAGATGAATAACATATAAAGAAATAGGCCTATGTCTCTTCTTTGATTAGATTAAGGGAAAGTGAAATAAAACTTCATTGAGTAACAAACATAAATATATAGACTCATGCTTGATTCATAATGAAAATGATGAGAATTAATTTGTCTAATCAAAATTCAACCTATAAAAGGCCTTATATCTTTTTTAGAGAATAAATAATTAAAACTTTGAGATTATATATGTATATATACCTTTGTATGAGTTGAACTGTAGCAATCTAGTGGTCTCATAAAGGGAATTCATGTCATGATCAACCAATAACACATTCACTTCAAACATGTTTGGGTCATAGAAAGAAGCCATTGATGAAGATGGTAAAGTGACAATAACTAGCTAGAAGGGAAATCTTTTTTATCGTAACTATGTTCGAAATGGAAACTTCTTGTCGAATGTTTCGACCGACGAAAAAAAAAGGTATGCGAAACTCGAGAGGAAGAGGAATGTGGTGAATTATGATCTAGATGTTATATAGAGAAAGTTTGGTACTGAAAAAAATAATAAAAACCACAAATTTGAGTAAGAAAAAAAAAAGTTTTGGAGCTTTATCTTTATTACTCAATCCTATTTTTCATTATTTCATATTTCTTGGTTTTGGTCTCTTTTAGTTTATGCCTTTTAGACAAGGCAAAAATGTGGGTTTTTTTTGCAATCTTGTTTACTTAATTGCTTTCATGGCTTTTTCCTTGGTAGAACTTGTAACTGATCATGTTTTAAGGCATTTGCTAGAAAAACAATGCAACTTTTTGTCATGATGCAATCTTGGTTTTAAAGTGGTGTGTAATTGTAGAACAACCTTGTCCTAGAAAGTCAAGATTTCACTTAAATGCAAAAGCTCAAATGTTATATTTTCAAGGAAAAAAAGTTAGTATAGTAGCATTTTTTATATGTCTTGTTGAGGTAGTTTTTATGCACAAAGAGGTGGAGTATGTTTGGATGTCATTAAATAGATGGATTAATATTATTTAACAAATTTAATAGTTTGCTAAATCGTAAAATATAGTCAATATCTTGTACGCAGTGGTAATAATAGGCACAATCATTACTAATTTGCAATAGGAGCCAACAATCTTTTAAACTTTGGGGTATTAACCAAATTTCTTCAAAATTTGACGGCTAAATTGCAAAAAGTAGTCAGTATTCTTTTACACTGCAACGATAATAGCCGTTGAATTTGGTCGAACATGTGTATTAACCTCAAAATTTTAAAATTTATTGGCTACTACTTATTCATAAAAATGGTGGCTATAATGCTATTATTGCCACTACATACAAGATATTATGTATATTTTGCAATTAAACCGTTTTTGCTTCAATGTTTTTTGGTTGCTTGCTTGCTTATCATATAATTTATGCATTAATTAATAAATGGCTTTAGGTAGCACCATCAAATGTAACACTTTACAAATAGGTAATATTTTTGGTATCATATAAGTGTTACCGAAAACTACCAAAAATATTACCTATTTGTAAAGTGTTACATTTGATGGTGCTACCTAAAACCATTTATGTTGTAGGGACCATATGTATATATACATGAATTTCTCATCAAATGTGATCATTAGACCCAATTTATATAGCTCTAGATTTAAATAAACTTTGTTATATAATGTTGAATATTTTCATTAGACCCAATTTATATAGCTCTAGATCATTTAAATAAACTTTTTTATATAATGTTAGTATATTGGTATATTTAGGATTGTATTTTTTGGTAGTATATTTTCCTAGTAGTATGTATCTTGCTTGGCAAGTAATTCCTTGTAATTATCCTAGGTCTTGTTGTATATATATATACTAGATTGGACCCGGCTGTGCACGCACAGCCGGCTCTAGTCCAGTCTATAATTATATCTAGTATTTGTAAAAATTTTAAAACACACTTACCCACATTTTATGGAGCAACCAAAATGCCACATTTTTTTGTTTGTTTAAAATGTTTTTCACGAATATGTCCTTCCTATTTTCTTCCTAGGGCCGACACGTGTTCTTTTTTCTTGACAGTTGGAGAAGTGATTTTTTTCACAAAGAAAATAGGAAGGACATATTTGTCCAAAAAGGACATGTGCCGGCCCTAGTTCAGTTTATAATTATATCTAGTATTTGTAAAATTTTTAAAACAAACTTATCCACATTTTATGGAGCAACCAAAATGCCACTATTTATTTTCAATTAAATTTTCCACACATTTTTTACAACAAAATATATATATTCGGGATGCACCACAAGTAGCATCGAAATAACACACCTCACTCCGGTAATCCTTTTGTTGAGTGGCTTCTTGTGCAACTGCAAAATTTCGTTCATGAAAGAAGTCAGAAGGCCAATTCAATGTTTACACACGGACAACAGAATTAAACTCAATAAAAAAATGTAAGAACACAACAAAAGAAGAGATGTATCATTCATTGTTCGAACTTCTCCGTGAACAGGTTAACCGTGGCGCCATTTTTAGAGAAAAAAATACAGACTGAAAGGCTATAGCCTGTCAACAGCCCATATAACTCTATAGAAAAGCAAAAACAAATCACCCAATTCATTTGGCATTTTCCATTAAATTATACAACCACCAGCTTAAATTTTTTTCTACATAGGTTGATGACTGGGTCAGTTGCATATTTAGAGTTTTTGTAAGTGCTATTTAGATAAGAAAAATCCTAACCCCAACATTCGACACAAAATTGCATCAAAACAAGTTGCCCAACCAAGCCACAATAAAACAATGACCACCACTGATCAGCAAACCAAAGCAAAAACCCGATAAGGTCACCCAACAACGACCGATAATCGACTTACAAAACTCGAGAAAGTAGTATTTGTCAAGAGGTCGTCGATTGTGTACAAGTTTTTTGCAAGGGCTTTGAACCCCGAATATGTAAACAACTTGTTAGCTTTCTCTTAAAAAGGTTTCAGTAAATTTCGATAAGCTCGTTTATTTTGACCATTCAATTCAAAAATGTCATCACTGGCATCTGAAAATTCTGCCTAACAACAAGCTCGCTCTTATTGAGACAACGAAAAGAAACCATATGTATTTTCTTAAACTTGAATTACAAAAAAAATATATATACCTATGTGCCAGACCAAACGCAAGTTCTTCACCTTCCCATACTTGTTCATAGCCTAATAAACCACCACCAAAAAGAAACCATACATCAGATATGCCATAACATCACATTACTATTTCAAGTTCTACACACACAGAGACAAACGCAACTCAGACATTTTACACGCACAAACAAAGCGTACGCATACATCGCGAAGAGTGTCCTCGGTGGTGAGATGAGAGAGGCTTACTATTTTAAAAATGATCAAATCTTTATATATATAATAAAATGCGGACAACAATTGTACACCACATGACTGTTTCTTTCCAT